GGCTTCCCATAATCCAGAGATTACAGAAACATCTCGGGGCTGGCCCGGTGGCGTAGTGGTTAAGTTCAGCACGCTCCCCTTTGATGGCCCAGGTTTGGAGGTTCGGATCCCAGGCATGGACCTACATCACTCATCAAGCCATGTTGTGGAGGCATCCCACATACAAAATAGAGGAAGATGGGTGTAGAGGAGAAAGACTATTCTCTACCCACTCTGGGTCCTTTCCAGCTGGGCTACAAATTAAATTGACATGACACCAAATAGCAGGAGAAAATCAAACAAAGCTTTATAACATGTATACATGGGTGAGCCAGGAAAGCCTGTGTAACTCGACAAAATAGCAGAGGTTCTCATCTTAAATACTATCTTTAGCTAAAGACAAAGGAGGATGTTGGGGTGGGAGGAGTCAGCTATGGGAGATTACCAGAAAAGCACAGTAAACAAGACTGAGGTCGGGCTGGCCCCATGGCTTAGCAGTTAAGTGCGCACGCTCTGCTACTGGCGGCCCGGGTTCGGATCCCGGGCACACACCGACGCACCGCTTCTCCGGCCATGCTGAGGCCGCGTCCCGTCCCATGTACAGCAACTAGAAGGATGTGCAACTATGACATACAACTATCTACGGGGGCTTTGGGGAAAAAAAGGAGGAGGATTGGCAATAGATGTTAGCTCAGAGCCGGTCTTCCTCAGCAAAAAGAGGAGGATTAGCATGGATGTTAGCTCAGGGCTGATCTTCCTCACACACACACACACAAAAAAAGACTAAGGTTAATATGCAGATTTAAGTCCTCGCCTTCTGCACTGACAAGAGTTTCTAGAGATAAGGTCATCCCCCTTCCGCCTGGTACAGAGAGGGAAATACCTTTACATGGAGATTTCCCTTATGTAAATGTCTCCTACAAAGGATAACTTCTACTTTTACTTGGTTTCCAGAGCTTTGATAAGAATAGGCTTAGCAAAGACCCTCCCAGTCTATCCATATCCAGAGTTATCTATGGTGATGGCCTTCTATCTTAAATTCTTTTAGGCAGTTAGTGGGGGGGAGGTCAAAGTTTCTTTCAGAGAAAATAATCAAGGTAAAGAGACAAATTTTGAGGTGGCCAACTCTGATCCCCAACATGGGCACAGATGTTAGCTCAGGGACAATCTTCCTCAAGCAAAAAAGAGGATGATTGGCAACAGGTGTCAGCTCAGGGCCAATCTTCCTCACCAAAAAAAAAAAAGAAGAAGAAGAAGAAAAGAAACATCTCATGTTCCTGTCCTTCCAGGGGGAAAAACCTTAAAGACTTTCAGGTAGTCTCTTAATTCTCACACTCTAGCTTTACCATCCGTCCTTACTTATTATTCATGCCCTTTTCACTGCTATGGAAGTACCCCTATTTTTCTCCTCCTTTGCTGGTGGAAGTGGACCAGGTCTCCCCTGAACAGAAGGGAAGTAAAATTATTCAGTCTGCTCATTGAGCCAGGAGCACTCTGTCTCCTAAAAAGTGTGGCTCTTGTTATCCTTCTGAGCATAAATTGTCCATGTTTATTATATCTTGAGATTCGAGTTCCTAGCTTTCCAGCTCCAAATCCAGCCATTACAAAGGTGGAACTGGCTTTCCCCAAGAAGTTATTTCTCTAATAACATGCTAGGACTGGCTCCTGCTGCCCTGTTGGTAAGCCAAATGCATACTTGGTCTCTGTAGCAGTTCCCAGCACAGTTCCTTGGAGATAAGAGCTGAAGTAGGGAGCAGAGAGAGATAAGAGGTGGGTGGGGGCTTCCAAAGTGGGATGAGGAAAGCCTCAGGGAAGAAGGTATGGTGGTAAGAGAACAGGAAAGGGTAAACTCATCCACAATTCAAAGAGAGGTTACCTTGCGCCAGGTGACATGCCCTCTAGAGAGCTGAGTCTCTGCTATCAGAGGGCCACCTGGTAGGGGTGGCTTTGGATCAGTGCCCTGCTCGATCTGAGGAAGTCACTGTCACGAGCTGCAGTGGTTATCTGCTTGGCTTTAGCTGCGTCTCAGCTGGCTGCTCACCCATAAATCCACAGATGCCACCCCAGCCCCTGACTGAATGCCGCTGCGGCATCCATGAGGCAGGCCAGGAGCTGGGCTGTTTCCATTTCTACCTCCAAACCTACCTCACATCCTCCAGGCCCACTGTCCTCCCCACCCCTAGGGTGTTGAGAATATTCAGCAAGAGCTAAGGCAATAAACAAATTCACAAACATGGAGCTAACTTAATGTCCTATCAGATTGTTAAAAAGGCACGATCACATCCCAAGCAAAGCTACCAGAGAGGGTACGGGGTGCCTAGGACTTGGTGGTGTGGATCTAAGGCCTCAGCAGTCAGAAAACCGAGGACTGTGGAGGAGCTCTGACTTCTGAGAACAACTCTGAAAAGCTCTGCAGGGGGATTTTTTTTCCCTTGAGTAGGGGTGAGTTTATTTCAGCTTTTTAAAAAAAAGTTCTTGGTGGGGGAGAAAAAAACCTTGTCTTACAGAGGTTAGAAAGTACCTCTCATGTGAATATCTTCTACCACCACCTAAAAACATGCTTTTTAAAAACCATGCTCAGCTCAGTTTCCTCAGCTCGAAAATGAGTGCAATACTTGCCCTGCCCTCCTCACTAGGCACTGATGTCAAATAGAATGATGCATATGAAATTTATTATTTTCATACAAGGAAAGCCCCCTTCTCCTCCACCCACATAGACACACACACACTTCCTTCCACCAGACAAACAAAACCCATGAGCTTGGGATCACTTATCCTGGGTAACAGGAGATGACTAGACTTGGCCACAGAAGTAGCTGTCAGAAGAAAGGGGACTGAATCAGGCACAGAACCTATTTGAACCTAAATTCTAACAAAAAATACTTTCATTCTAACAAAACAGCTCAGTAGGCCGCCTCCCCCCGTAGCTCCCCATGGAGGCCATCAGCCATGGTGGCTAGCCCTTAGTACACACGGGGACAGAGCAAAATGTGAGAGAGGCAAATGGCACTGCCTGGATGGAAAGTAAAATCTACCTTTGTTTTTCTGGTAACTCCAGGCCCGTATTATTAGAAAAACTCTTCCCTTCTCAGGATATCTCCTTCCATGCTCTACACTTAACTCTGCACAAGACAGTGAGGGGATGGTGCCTGGCCTTAGATTAACTGAGGTGCTGTGTATGCACTACTGTTAACAGATCATTTAAAAAGCTGGGAGTCAGAAAATCGCATCCCCGTCTTTGAATGGCTCCTGCTGTCCCAGCAGCCCACCCTGCTGGCAGAACTAGCTGCTGAGCACCAACTCCAGGAAGAAAAGGAGCGAATAGAAGAAGGCCAACCCAGCTTGCTGTTTTTTGGCTGAGTAGGGAATTGACACAGACCACCTCCGGCTCCTGTCTGGAAGTTTTGAGATCAGAGAGCTTCAGGCACAGCTGGGTTCACAGCTGCACCATTTGGAGCATTGGACTCATTAATATTCATGAGTCATCCCCACCAATCGGCAGAGCGGATGCCATTAGCTTAGCATCTGTCGGGTTTTTGTGAGGGTTGTGTATGGAGGTTTTTTTCCCTTTTAAATGAACTTCTTTTGACATGTTGGATTTGCCTCTGTAGGTTTTCTATCCTCGCCTTGCTCTGCTGCATCATATAAAGGAGAGACCCAGGGGAGGCGGGCAGAAAAGAGGGATGAGTCCCAGCCAGGGCTTTGCATCTGCCTGTTGACAAACTTTATTTCTCTTTCAGCACCTGGCACCTCAGACAGGCTGTGAGGATAGAAGCAGCATCAGGTAAATTATACCTAACAAGGTTCATGCCCATAACTGTGAGAAGAGCTGCATCCTGGCTCTTTGGAAGACAATCCTTCCTCCAGTGGTAAACTTGAGCTGCACACACAATGCAGGAGAGCTGCAGTGCACAGTTCTGAACCATTATTTCCACGCTGATAAATTCATGATTCATGAAAGTAACTACTGCCAGCCCTCACTCCCTCCTCCTCTGCTACAGCTTGTTAGACACAAATTGCAACAACAGTCTTAAATACTTGAATTTTATTTCAGGCCAAAGCCCCTCAACTCTGAACTAAATGCCATAACAGTCCCACAGCATAGGCTGGTAGTAGAAGAGCCCACAGACAGGATGGGATGGCCCGAGGAGGGAGGAGTGGGCGAGAAGGAGAACCACACACACAAACCTAAGTGCCGAGCAACACAGAATGCCAGCGGCACTCATCTCCTACCAGCTCCTGCTCTGAGTGGAGAGGAATTAGGGCAGCAGGAGGGCAGAATGCCTCATTGTCTGAAGGCAGGCGTGTTGTTCCTCAGCTCCATCCCCAGAGCCCTCTCTCCAGGCAGAAACAAAGCCCTTGCGCCCCACTGGACTGCCTCCCTGCAACGCAGCAGAGGCACACTGTGGTGGCTGAAGCCCTGGGGGCAGGAAGCTGTTACTAAGGGAGAAGAAAAGGATTCAAAAAAGAAAGGAGCCCACGCTAACCCTACAGAAAAGATAGTCACGTCTCCGCTTTATAACCAGAGGAGACGATGATAGCTCAGGACAGTCTTTTCCAAAACAAAGCCCCCTGAGCTGTGCCTTTCCTCTGGCTGTGACCAACCACTTCTATTTCATGGATGACCATGAGCTATTTCATGGGTCTCAGGCCCCACACAGCCAGGCTGAGGTCTTGGGATATGCAGGAAAGCCCAGCGACAGGAGTCAAAGCATCCTTCCATTCAGTGGTGTTAGTGGAGGAGAAGCAAGGAGGTGGGAAAAGAAATATTCACCACCCCGTCCACGCAAGGAAGTGCTCCAGGGACTACAGCAAAAACAGCCAGTGGGATACAACTACACAAGCATTTCTGTTGTGACAACATTCAATACAGCAGCTTAAAATCTGCCACTTACAGGTCCCCAAAACCAGTCACCTGAGGCAGTGCTCCTGGGCCCATTAACAAACATCTAAAGAAACTCAGGTCCTGGGAGAGTAAATATGGGGTTCTGTTCAAAAGCAATAGCCCCTGGGCCTTATGCTTAACTTACAAACACCTGCAGTGTTTATTCCTATGGAGGAAGCTTGAGGAGTCGTCGTGACCGACCTCTGTGCAAGCAACCTGAGCAGAGGCAACCCTGAGCCACTCAGCAGCCCAGCCTCCCCACCACCTGCCCTGTGCCCGATCCCACCCGAGCCAGTCTCCTGGCCTGCATCTTCTCCGTCCACCTCGGAGCAGAACCCAGAGCTCACTTTTCCAAAACTGTTTCTAAGTGACCAGGGTCCAAAGGCACAGCATGGTCTCCTCCCATGGCCCTCCTCACAGGCTGAGGAGCAGAGATCCCCTCATCAGGTCTCACAAAATCACAACATGATGGTGAGGAGGGGGGCGGCAGAGGGGGGCTTTCCAAGGAAGGAGCCTCCGAGTCCACAACAGGAGCCCACACCTCGAAATGGTCCTTTTCTTCCCCAGAAGGTGGTGAAGGAGAGCTCCTCCTGCCTGATCTTGGAAGAAAGCAGCAACTGGAAAAGAGTGGGAAAGAGAAAAGAAGGACAAGAACAGATAAACACAAATGAATGGATACACAAGTGAACAGACAAAAAGGTGGAATATCCACACAAAGGGAATATTATTCAGCCATAAAAAAGAATTAAGTACTGATACACACTAGGACACTGATGAACCTTGAAAACATGCTGAGTGAAAGAAGCCAGTCACAAAAGACCACATTTTGTATGACTCCACTTCTGTGAAATGTCCAGAGTAGGCAAATCCATAGACACAGAAAGTAGATTAGTGATTGCCAGGAGCTAGGGGTTGGGGAAAACGAGGAGTCACCACTAATGGGCACAAGGTTTCTTTTGAGGTGATGAAAATGTTCTAAAATCAACTGTGGTGACTGATGGCTGCACAACTTTGTGAATAAACTAAAAACTACTAAATCATACACTAAAAGGGTGAATTTTATGGTATATGAATTATATCTCAATAAAGTTGTTATTTAAAAAAACGGGGGGGGGGGCGGTGAGAGGAATAAAGAACAGAACAAATAAGAAAGCATTCTCTTGGGCCGGCCCCGTGGCTTAGCGGTTAAGTGTGCCGCCGCTGGCGGCCCGGGTTCGGATCCAGGGCGCGCACTGACGCACCGCTTCTGCGGCCATACTGAGGCCGCGTCCCACATACGGCAACTAGAAGGATATGCAACTATGACACACAACTATCTACTGGGGCTTTGGGGAAAAAAAGAGGAGGAAGATTGGCAATAGATGTTAGCTCAGAGCCGGTCTTCCTCAGCAAAAAAAGAGGAGGATTAGCATGGATGTTAGCTCAGGGCTGATCTTCCTCACAGAAAAAAAAAAAAAAAGAAAGCATTCTCTTCTTTCTCCCCAGGTTTCAATAGGAGAGCCTGCTACCCAGGGATGGGTTAACACAGACCCTCGTGCGTGGGATAAGAGAACCATGCACAGGAGAGCGAGGCCTCTTCTGAAAGGCTACCAATGCTGTGACATTACTTTCTTTCTCAAATGAATACCTCACTGACCCAGGTTACAGTAATCCTAGCCCCTAGTGTCTCAAAAGAGAGAGCTTCAGTCACCTCTTCGGCTGGTCTCCTTTAGCCAGGCGGGAAGAGCCCTGTCTCTCTTCCTGGACCCAGCCACAGTTGGACATAGCATAGCGAAGAATGGCATCAGAAACAGTCATGGCGCTTCGACCCTGGACACAGGCCTCTATCTCAGGCACCGAGAGCTGGCTTTGCAGGAAGAGGTGTAACTGGCTGTCTGACAGGAGGACCACACTCTGCAGGACCCTGGGGCAAACACAGGTAGTACAACACAGAGCATCACCTGAGGAGTTGCTCTCCCAGCCCCATCCTCTGAAGGGCTTCTGGAAGACTACATTTTCCGGGATCATTTCTCTAGTTTGTTACTAAAGAAGTTTCTCTGAACGTGTGGAGCACCTGAAGGGCTTCTGGTTTGAGTGAGCATTGAAGGCACGAGGGTGCAAGAAAGGCATCTACCACAAATGTGCCTGTATGCTCAAAGGGGCCATCCTGCCTGGCATCTTCCCCCCTCACTGCCCCCACCCCAGGAGGCAAGTGCTAGCCCACTACATCCACTCACTTTTCGAGGAAGTGCTGCAGACCTTGTCGTCGCTTCTCAATGAACTCATCCGAGTTGCCAAAGAAACTTGACTTCCCAGGAAGTTCAGGTACAGGCCTGTGGGGTCACATAAGGTAACATCCAAGATAAATGTAAGATCTGAGACACTCATTCCAGCCCCTGATCAAAGAAATCCCCTAAAAAGAGGCATAAATCAATACAAACAGCTTTTAATAAGGTGGCGGAGGGCTAGCATTGACCGACTGCATGCCATGTGTCAAGCACTGTGCTAAATGTTTCACAAACTTCATTTCATTTAATCCTCCCCAAACCCTGTGAGAAAGATATTAGTGTTCCCATTTTAGTAGTAAGGAAATGGAATCAGAGATGTTAAGTGAAGTTCCCAGCGTCACACAGCTAGTAAGTGGCAGAGCTCGTATCTGAACCAAGTCTATGAGTTTAAAACTCCATGCTGCTGTAGCACACTGTTTACAAAACCCACTCCCACCATCAACTATTATTTTAAAAAGAAACTTAGACACAGAGACATGGAGAATGCTGGGTCCTTGTGTGGAAATTAATACTACCTACTCCAGTCCCAGAAGGTCATATGCTTGGAATTTTCTAAAAGTAGTTGAGTTGCAACAAATCATCCACAAATTCTTTACACCCCGCTAATCTCTCTCATGAAGCATAGCACATACTTTTAAAAAACAATAGGCCAGGCTAGAAGATGCAGGATCTGTCAGAGGGAGTTCCACTGGCTTATGAGGGTCTGACCCATGACAATGGCCTCATCAGTCCCACACGGTAACTAACTGGCTAGGTCATCAACAGGCCATCAGTCACCAGAGCATTCAGTGACCATCCTGTGTTGGAATCACTGTTCTAAACTGTCTTCAGTTTTAGGACTTATTTGGGGAGTGTAGGTGTGGAACAATATTGCTTTTCCTAAGGCTTTCAGTCTGTTATGTCTCTGGAAAAGGGGCTCTGCACAAAAAAGAAAAAAAAAAAAAACCCACAACTTTTACATGTCAAATGGACAGAAATACCACCTGTCAAATAAGTCCAGGTGCTAAAAAGTTCCTGATAACCAGTGATAAGCACGCTTAAAATGCTAGCAGTGGTGGCACAGCGGTTAAGTGCACACACTCCGCTTCGGGGGCCTGGAGTTCACAGGTTCGGATCTCGGGCGTGCACAATGCACCGCTTGTCAAGCCATGCTGTGGCGGCGTCCCACATAAAGTAGAGGAAGATGGGCACGGATGCTAGCCCAGGGCCAATCTTCCTCAGCAAAAAGAGGAAGATTGGCATCGGATGTTAGCTCGGGGCTGATCTTCCTCACACACACAAAAAAAAGAACTCTGTCTTTACTTTTTTCACTGACTTGAAAACATAATTTAAGAACACACTTCTTGGGGCCGGCCCCGTGGCTTAGCGGTTAGGTGCGTGCTCTCCGCTGCCGGCGGCCCGGGTTCGGATCCCGGGTGCGCACCGAGGCACCGCTCCTCCAGCCATGCTGAGGCCGCATCCCACATACAGCAACTAGAAGGACGTGCAGCTATGACAGACAACTATGTACTGGGGCTTTGGGGGAAAAAAAAAAAAAAAAAAAATTTTAAAAAAAAAAAAAAAAAAAAGAACACACTTCTTAATTTCCTTACTGCCTGGCATCTTGCCAATTTTTCTTCACTGTAAACTCCAATTCCCGAGGAAGCACCTAAAAAGCCAGTCTAGGACCCAAGAAGAAAGCAAGAGGAAACTCACACTAAACCAGCATTTCTCTGTAGCTGCTTTCTCAGCCACACGAACTCACGGTAGCGGCGACGCACACAGGACGTCTTGGCAGTAAAGGCCTTGCTGTTGGTCTACAGGAGGAAGTAAATGAGAAGGATTTAGTGGAAAAAACCCAAGTTCACATGAACTCCCCATTGTCACTCTCGCTGAAAAGCCAAGCCACCAGGCCAACTAGACCAGGCAGCCTGAAAGCAACTCTCAGGCATACCCCAAGCCTACCTTCCTCTCCTCCCTCCTTGTCTTCTGTCTCGGGCCTGTCAAAAACATCCACAAACAGGTCCCACCTCACCACTAGCCGTCAGCTCTGGAGAGTGTTGACCCCAATACAGAAGTCTGATGCACTTACATGGAGGAATATCTTATAATCCACATAAGAATTCCAGGAGCCCTCATTCTGCACACGGGGGTCCTGAACTCGCACAGTGATGACCTCCTGGAGGTAAGAAATGCTCCTTTAGCTTCAGCTCAGTCACAGAGTAAAGCAGTTTTGACAACACAGGTTGCCAGATTTTTCCACTCAGACAGCACCAACTCTCATTCATCTGTTCATTTATTCATTCAATTCAACAAATATTTATGTAACTACCCACTATGTGCCAGGCACTGTTCTAAGGCATTACGGGTAGAACATGAACAAGAGACAAAAATCCTTGCTCTCATGAAGCTTTCTTTCTCGCACTTTCCAATGAATGGAAAAGTTAATTAAAATGGAACCTCATTTCCCAGTGAGGCCTTTACTACTGCTTTCCTTCTCCTGGCTTTATATTGAGCTCATCAGAATCAAGGTATTACTTTCAGAAGAACACCACTGAGCAATGATTTGCATCTTCTCCCAAATCCCCTCAAACTTTCACCTACCTGTTCCCTGGAGACCATACGCTTACCTCCTGCTCTTGGTTCTCCAACATCTTACACCAAAAGCCCATTGGAAGAAAACATCTGATGAGAGACAGAAGACACAAGAACAATCACGGTGAGTGAGTATGCTTTTATTCTTATCACTCTTTACCAGGGAAAAACCTTGAAAAATTTTAATCCACATCCCTGGAGAAACCCAGGCAACTTTTTTTGTTCTTATGTAAAACTTAAGAGGAAGCAAAAAAATCCCCCCACGTTAACTCAGTGCTAAATAAAAGCCCTGGGGGATTTGCCTCCCCTCTCAGACCACGGCCAGGACCCTTAACTAGGCTACCTCTAGCCAAAGCATGTTCAAGTCTGCACAGCGTTCACCTCAGGCAGCCAGAATAGGTGAGTTCAGTTGTAAAAGCTTTGCAGCCTGAGGACTGCAGGCAAAGCAGTGTCTTCTGGGCACACACAGCACAGCTTTGCAAGTGAGCCTAACATTGCCCCCTCCTGGCTGTTTAGGGACAACCAAGCGCCCAAGAACACCAATGCTCCCAAGGCTCTCTTTGTCTTGCTAACAACAGTCACTTCTCCAGAGGTAAATCCTAGAGCTGGAGAGCTCTGGGAGCACCTGAGTGGGTTGCACAGTTGCAACCTTCCCTTATCTAATCCGTTCTCCGGAACCCAAGCCAATGGTTCTAATCATTTCCTCTCTTGACATGCCATCCGGTTTGTACCTCTGCCCAAGCACCCCACAGCTGCACAGGTCAGCTGAGGATGTTTTCCGCTCCTTTATAAAGATTCATTAAAGCCCAAGCCTCTGATTTCCCCCAATGTGGCAGTTTACATGTGCAGCGACATCGCCCACTCCGACAAGGGGATCATGAAGGCAGCAGCACAGGGTTACTCAAGTCCAAAGGGGCCCATGATGTCACCTTCTGTTAAAATACAGCACTAATCTTGTTACTCCTAGAACCACTCCAACAGCATCCACCCTGGCTGCCGCCTCCACCCCCTTCTCCTCTCTTAAGAGAGAAACAATAAGGTTTAATTTCCCTTTCCAATTTACCTTGAAATGAAAACTGACTTCAGCCAATATGTACTGCCAACAAATGATTCGGGCTGGCTCCTGGGAAAATGAGACTATCTCTATGCTCTCTTTCTCCTCCCCCCATGCCCATTCACACACCCACTCATTTTTACAGTCCCACAATTAATTTTAAACACATTCTCTTATTAGTTCTGCCTTACCATTAGAAGAGTGTGTAATGAGTTTCCTTTTATTTTATGTTTTGCTAACACAAGGCTAATGTTTCAAGAGAAGGCGAACTCATTTATACCACAAAATTAGCAGAGCAAACAGCTTTTCCAATTCTTTCCAGTACACCAGAAGGTCTCTCCACACATAGACACTGCATGCAGAGACAAAGCTGCATGGTATATGACAAAATTGGGCTGTACCATTGAGCGAACCAGAGATTTTGTGATTGCAATACCATCTTAAACAGTAATCTTGCTGACAATCTGATTTTTCATCTGATGCAGTCACCATCGCAAAGGGGTCATAGACTGAAAGGTAGGAAATTCCACTTCCATAGCAACCGATGTGTAACATCCTGGATGTAAGCAGTGAAATGGCTGTGATCAAAAGAACAGGCCAACTCACGGTGAACAATTAACCACCTCGAATTAAAAAAAAATTTTTTTTCTCTTCTCTTTTCAGGCATTTGGTAAATTGCCAGCACAGCAGCAGAGAGTTAAATATTCTGAAGTGTCTTTTCACAAAAGTAACACTAGGAAAGATGATGACATGGAATCAGTTATCCACACACTCAGTGGAGCTCACACATCTCCTCTACCTAGAAAGCTTTGCCAAATTCAGGACCATAATTTAGTAACTAAATGGTCATCATTCTCAGGATCAAGAACAATTTGCCTAGGGCTATGCACGACCTCTGAGCCCAAGTTCCTCTCTTTTCCTTTGGGGCTAATACCACTTAGAAACAAATAGCTATAAACGGTTTAAAAAAAAAAACAAAAAAAACCTAGGACCTCCAAGATGCTTAAATCTAAGTTTACTTAAATCTAAGTTTAAAGGGCACTAAAAAAGTTTCAATTGTAACTTTCCTTAAAAACACTGGAACAAATACAAAAATCTAGACTCCAAGTAATAATTTCTAGCAACTACTATTCTCCATCAGCTTCCTACTCATATATGCCACTCCTCAGAAGGAAATGAAGCTCAGTTCTGCCCTTGGAGGGAAAGGAGGAAGTTCCTACCGTGAGTTCTGTGATCTGAGAGATAGATCTGCATGTCATCCAAATAAGGATAGTCAGTGACCCTCTCAGCTACTTATGCAACTCACTAAGTGCTAGCTACACTTCCAGGCCCCTTCAGTCACATCTGAAGTTTCCTTTACTTCCTCCACCTGTACCAGCACCAATGGCCCCAGGGAGAACCCAGTTGTTTGCTATTCACAAAGTAGATTCCTTGTAAACCTTTCCAATGTCATAACAATTCAAGGCTTCAGCCCCACCATTTTCACTCCCATTTAAACTAACTACTTCAAGGGGCTGGCCCGGTGGTGCAAGTGGTTAAGTGCGGATGCTCTGCTGCGATGGCCCGAGGTTCGCCAGTTCGGATCCCAGGCGCGCACCCATGCACCGTTTGTCAAGCCATGCTGTGGCAGTGTCCCCTATAACGTGGAGGAAGATGGGCATGGATGTTAGCCCAGGGCCAGGCTTCCTCAGCAAAAAGAGGAGGATTGGCAGATGTTAGCTCAGGGCCAATCTTCCTCACAAAAAAAAAAATTTTTTTTTAAATAAAAAAATAAACTACTTCAAGAGACAGATTAAAAACCATATCAGGTGATAAAAGCATATTGCGCCACTGAGACTCCCATTTCTTCTTACTCATTCTTGAGCCCTGGTGGTAGACAGCAACTCAAAAAAGCTCTCCTTCCTAAATACTCACAGGTGGTGAAGGAAGCTCCCCTGTCTGACCAAGCTCTGTGTGTTCTCAACCAAGCAATTCTGCTCCATCCCTCCCTCCATCTGTAACTTGGAAGATAAGTCATAAAGGCGACCACAATTTAGCATAAGAGCCTCCCGTGTTCCCATAAAATACTTGCCATTACCCCTAGTCCTAGCCGTTGGGGTAAACGTTCCCCAACTCTTTTACTCTGGCCACTCCCCCTCCACTCTTAACGAAGTAGGAGCAAAAGGGCCACACGGTCCTTCTTCTCCTCTGCCTATTAAGCTTGGGGAGTGGGAAGGAAAGACACTATATACTTTAAAAGTTAGTAGAAAAGCCAGGTTTCCTTCCTTGGATCCCGAGCGAGCACCGCCTTCATCCCAGAGATGAAACGGCCCCTTCCCTAGGAATGTCAAGCGAGGTCCCCACTCCAAGCGCCACTACAGAAGCTCGAGCCGGCGGCCGTCACCTAAGAGCAGCACGCACTCCCCGAGGCCGCGCCCGCGCCCCCTCACCTGAGAGCAGCACCCACTCCTCACAGGAACACCGCCGGCGCCCCACCATATAGCCACTCGCGGCTTCTCCTTCCGGGTGAATCGCTGGTGCTCCGGTGCACGACGGGAGACGCCTCCCGACACGCCAATCCCGGGCGCTCAAGACGCCCCGGCCCTGCAGGCCCCGACTCTTAGTGGCGAGCCCCGCTCCCGGGGCGGCGCCCTCGGCCCCGCCCAGGCCTCGGCGGGAGTCGGGCTCCCCCGGGACTCACGTGGGCGCTGAAAGATGCACGCGGGCGAGGGCCGGCGAATGGGCTCTGACGTCCAATCCAGGGCCGCGTCCCGCCCATCGTTGTCAGGCCCAGCCAATCAGCGGCCAGGTAGCGTCAGTGAAGGTCTGAAAAAGGGTCCCGGGAGCAGAGAGGTGTGAGAAGGTTGTCACCGGAGTTTTGGTTCTGCAAAGGGCGGTCTTGAGTGTGGGAGGGCCGGGGAAGGAAACGCCCACGTTCCTGGAGCTTCGCTGAGTCTGGGGAGAGTCCCCATTTGAACTCCGCAGGTTGCAGTTCCTCAGCGGAGTTATCAAGGGAACTTCAACTCAGGTTCCTAAACCACAGGTGGTCAGAGCGAAAACCGAACTGAGACTGCCCAGCAACGCACGTTTCTCTCGACGAAACGAGCCTAAAGAAGGATCGTGCAGCTAGTTAGTAAGAAAGAAAAATCCGTTGAATATGATGACTTTTTTTTTAATGTTGTTGAAGTGTCTTTTAACCTGTTTAAAGATGATTTTAGCAAAGATAATATCAATGAAAAAGTTGTGGTCACAGATCCAAGCTCTGGGGTTAGACAACCTTGGAACCATACCGAGCATGCACTACACTGACCGTGTGGCCCTAAACTGGTCCTAAATGTTTGTAAGTCTTAGTTTCCTCATCTGTAAAGTGGAGATTATTGCACATACCTCTAAGCAGCTTTTCTCAAACTTGGTCTCAGGATCCCTTTACATTCTTAAAAATGATTAAGAACCCCAAGGAGCTTTTGTTTTTGTGGGATATTCACTGAGGTAGAAATTAAAATTGAGAAATTCAAAAACATTTATATATTAATTCACCTAAAAACGATTACAATAAACCATTACATGTTAATATATTTTATGAACTATAACTACACTTTATAAAACAAAAAAACAGTAGTGAGTAGAGTGGCATTGTATTACAATTTTGCAAATCTCTTTAATGTTTGGCTTAATAGAAGACAGCTGGATTCTCATATTTGCTTCCCCCATTGAAAGGGAGCAGAATATGCCATGCCAAATTATGCCACTTTGGCATGTGGATTATTTTGAGCTGAAGGTAATCAAGATCCAGCAGACTCAAGAAAAACTTTGACTTCTCCCTTAACTACCTAAAAGAACTTAGATAGGGGGCCTGGCCCAGAAAGAGCTATTACCAGAGATAACTTTTTATGTGCAAGACTTACTTGCATGGCAGGGCAAACATCTGATCATCAAACATCTGCTCTTTTTATCTTCCTGTGTATTTCCCTCCGCCCCTTTGAAGCCCCAGACCCCTATCCCATTTCTTAGCTTAGCATGGCATCTAAGCCTCAATTGCCTGCCTGCCTTTGGGTCTCATATTTTTATGGAGCTCCCATATGTACAAAATTAAATTTGTTTTTCTCCTGTTAATCTGTCTTATGTCAATTTAATTGTTAGACCAGCCAAAGACTCTAGAAGGGTAGAAGGAAAATTTTTCCACCCTGACACCATTCTCTCTGTTGTGCTGTATTATTTTGGCATAGGAGATGAAGAAAATCCAGTCTCACAGAGATATATAGTTGGAAAAGGGAGGAGTATTTTTAGCCTTCTCCAATAATTGTGGATACTCTTCTGTGATACTAGCAAAACTCAACAAATGGTAATTTCTTAAAGGTTAATTGTAGTGAGGAATCTGAAACCATTTGGAAAACATTGATTTACTGAGTTATGCAACTCTTCCAAATATTGATGCATTTCATTATTCAACATAAAAAATCAGATTTATGAAAATCATCTCTAATCTCATCAAGAAAATCTTGGGAAACAGACAAGCTCACTGCGGTGGATACCACATTTTCTAAAATTACCATTTTTGCTTGGAAGTTTAAATTCTTTTATCATTGTCAAAAATACTTTCAGTCATTTTTCTTTGAAGTGGCAGGCTCATTTCATTCAAATATCCAATATCCAAGTCTGAATAACCATAGTTTTTCCGTCAGTCATTCTTTCAAATAAAAATGGTGTTCTATGAAAAAAAGCAGTTAGTTCAGTTTACACGTCTCAAACAATTGCACAACCGTATACTTCAGTAAGCAGCAGAAGTGTTTTGTGTACATCTCCCATTTCATCACACAGAACATTAAAAAGACACACTCTAGGAGAGAGATTTCATAAAATTAATAGTTTGTACTGCTTCTTCAAGGATAGTCTTAAGTGAAAATGGCTTCTTAATTCTTGTTTTGCATAGGCATGGCAGTGAAGAATACAAGGACTCTAGTACAAGTTGGTGCTGCCCTGCCTTGATTAATGCTAAGGTGCCAGCAGTTTCACTCACTGTTGCCCTTGCGCTATCAGTGAAAATGTCAACACAATGAAAAAGAGCAAATAATGTCTTAATATTATTATGAAAATAGTTTTGACCATTCAGACTCCTTGAAACATCTCAGACACCCTCAGAGTCTGTAGACTGCACTTGGAGAAATGCAGAGGGTATCCATTCATCCAACAAATATTTATTGAGTCCCTTCTGTGGGCTGGGAACTGTTTTAGCATTAAGAATAAAACAGGCAGCCAAATAGGAAAGTACCCTGACTTCCTGGAGCTTCTATTCTAAAGAATATAAGGGCTTAGTATCATTGCCCCACATATTACTCAATAAATGTTTTTAAATAAATTCATTAAATAATTTGAATGTCATACAGGTTTCACAAATAGGTGCCCTATCTCTAGCTTATTTTTTCAACAATAATTTCTAACACATGATAATGGGGCTAATCCTTATCACACCTGAAATGCTAGCAAATGATAAAAGTACCTCTCCAAGTAGTGATCCCTTCACTTGAGAAAACCAGTCACTGTCAAGGCTATGGGTCATGAATGGAGAAGTATAGGTTTTAATTAGAGTCCAGTTACTACTAGGAAGTCACATGAGAATCAGACTGACCAGGGAAGCTGAGAGAGACAGCTAGCTCTTAAGCATATTTGCCTTTAAAAGAGAGAGCTTGTTAACCCCAAATGAATAAATCTTTAACAACAGAATTTCAAGTAGTAGTCAAAATGAAACAAAGAATCTCACACCCATTAGGATGACTGCTATCAAAAAAAAGCAGAAAACAGCAAGCATTGTGAGGGTGTGGAGAAATTGGAACCCTTGTGCACTGTGCGTGGAAATGTAAAATAGTACAGCCACTGTGGAAAATGGTATGGCAGTTCCTCAAAAAATTAAAAATAGAATTACCATATGATCCAGCAATTCCACATCTGGGTGTATAACCAAAAGAATTGAAAGCAGGAGCTCGAAGAGATATTTGTACACTCGTATTCATAGCAGCGTTATTCACAATAGCTAAAACGTGGAAACTACCCAAGTGTCCAACAACAGATGAATGGATAAGCAAAATGTGGTACATACATACAATTGGATATTCTTCAGCCTTAAAAAGGAAGAAAATTTTGACATATGCTACAACATATGTCCATATGAACCTTCAGAACATTATGCTAAGTGAAATAAGCCAGTCACGAAAAGACAAATACTGTATGATTCCATTTATATGAGATACTTAGAGTAGTCAAAATTGTAGAGACAGAAAATAGAATGGTGGTTGCCAGGGTAGGGGGAGGGAGGAATGGGAGTCTTTTGGGTATAGAGTTTCCGTTTTACAAGATGAAAAGAGTTATGGTAATGAATGGTGGTGATGGTTGCACAACATTTTGAATGTATTTAATACCACTGAACTGTACACTTTAAAATGGTTAAGGGCCGGCCCGGTGGCTTAGCGGTTAAGTGCGCGCACTCCGCTGCTGGCGGCCCGACTTCGGATCCGGGGCGCACACCAACGCACCGCTTCTCCGGCCATGCTGAGGCCGCGTCCCACATACAGCAACTAGAAGGATGTGCAACTATGACATACAACTATCTACTGGGGCTTTGGGGGAAAAAAAAAAGGAGGACGATTGGCAATAGATTTTAGCTCAGAGCCGGTCTTCCTCAGCAAAAAGAGGAGGATTAGCACGGATGTTAGCTCAGGGCTGATCTCCCTCACAAAAAATAAATAAATAAAATGGTTAAAATGGTAAATTTTATGTTATATATATTTTATCACAATTTTTAAAATTGAGAAAAAAATGAAACAAGAATTTCAGACAGTGCAAAGGAAAATATTTACAAAGTCTTGTACTTCCCCCACTCCTCTTTTTTTTTTTTTTTTTTTGGTGAGGAAGATTGGCCATGAGCTAACATCTGTGCCCATCTTCCTGTAGTTTGTATATGGGATGCCGCCACAGCATGGCTTGATGAGCAGTGTGTAGGTCCGTGCCCAGGACCTAGACCACCGAAGGAGGCCACCGAAGCAGAGCGAGCAAACTTAACCACCACGCCACTGGGCCCGGCCCCGCCCCCTCTTTAAATCACATCTTAGAAGCAGCTATCTACTTTTCCTAAAATAGCACTCTTTCCTGAGTGCCAACTACATGCCATTCCCTTTATACATTACTGTTAATCCTACAGAAATGCTGCAAGGTAGATCTTAAATAATATTTTCACGTTTTAGATTTTCATGGCGGCTGAGGCTCAGAGAAGTTAAGCAGCTTGTCCAAAGTTGCACAGCAGACAAATAGTAGAGACAGAATTGAATCCAGTTCAGCCCGATTCCAAGTCCTTGTTCTTTTTTGCAACATCACACTTCCTTCTCCACATTCCTTGTGATTTTAGAAACTTCATGTGACAGACACATTTCCTGTGGGCATGAGCAATGTCACTTCAAATGTTGTCTTGAGCAAGATCATTATGACTGAGTTGCCATTATCCTTAGACAGAAAAGAAACTCAAAGGTTCTGAATAACTTAAAATGTCAACATTCTTCTTCTTTTTTT